GGGCCGGGGGCGGGGGCGGCGGGGCCGGCACAGGAAGTCCCCCCGGCATCCGCATCCTGTCCCCCGCCCGCCACCCGCGCGCCCCGCGCCCCGGCCCCCGCGCCGCCGCCGCCGCCGCTCTAGGCCGCCGCGAGCTCGGTGGGCTTAACCCTTCCCCGCCCGGCCGCTCACCCGCGGGGCGGCGACTGTCGCTAACCCCGGGGGGGCGGCGGGCGAGTCTCCCGGGGGGGCCGGTGCAGCCTCGGGGCGCCCCTGGCCCGGGTCCAAGCTGTGGTTCATTAGCACTCCATTGCAGGACACTCACCTTATGAGGAGGCCCCAATCCGCCCCCCAGCGGACCCAAAAGAGGCCGCTGCCTCTGCCCGTCGAATCCCTCCTCCTGGCGCCTCGGATGGTGAAGGCAGGGCTGGGGGCGGGCGCGGAGTTTGTGCGCGCTTGGACAGTGGGCTGGAACCCCAAAGGACCAGATGGGGCCGTGGGAGCCACCCTCGTTAACCGAAGGGTTAGCCTGGCTCGCTTCCTCTGTGCACAAGGCCTGCGGTCAGGCCCCCCCCCTCCGCCGCCCCCAGCCTCTGCCCTCCCCAGGTCCCCACCCCAATAGCCATGTGCAGAGGCGTCCCTGGACAGGCCAAGCTGACCCCTGCCTGGGTCAGGGGTCTCCTTCTCAGGGAGGCCTTACCTGACCATCTTGATATCCCATCACTTTGCTGCACTGTCTGAACCTGGAGAGTTCACATTAAAATTGGGATACTCCAATTCTCTTGAAAAATCCCAAGATCTGGCCTTGGAGAGCTGTTCCTGGGCTAGAGTATGGGAATGCCTCACTGGAGGTGGGCACAGCCCTCATGTGGTCACAGTCCTCTTCTGTCGCTGTCTCCATCCTGGTCTGGCTGCCCTGCCTTGTTCCAGTTTTTGATACTTCCTGGACCCACAGGCTGTGGAGTTTAGGAGTTCTCCTCTAGCCCTCTGAAAAGCTTGCGCTCTGGCTGGCAGTTTCACCCCCAGACTAGAAGCTCCAGGTGGCAGAGGACTGCCTCTGCCTCTGCCTCATCAGGGGAACCAGGGCAGCAAGAGCCTAGCTCTGGAGGCAGAAAAATCTGGATTCACAATGGCCTCTTCCAGTTGGGTAATGAGGTAAATTATTCCCTTTCATCTGTGGAATAGGGACAGCACTCTGCTCGCCAGGAGTTTAAGGAAAAGCGAGCATCTCCTCTCTGGCCAGCTAGGTGTGCACCTTCCCTTCCCCGGGAGGGCTGGGAACAAAGCTATGTCTGCCTCGTCCTTCCTCCGGGGAGACCTCATGCCCAGAGGATCCAGAGGATCCACTCACTCCTTGAATCTTTAACTTCTGTCTCTGCTGGCTTCTTTCCAAGAGCATTTGCTCATTCTTCCGGCTCTCCCATCTTAAAAACATGCAACCCCTTCTCTCTCCTGCCCTGGGTGGCCAAACTGCCTAGAAAGATGCCCCATAGCAGTTCTGTCCATATCTCCATCTACCTGTCCCTCCCCCTTCTCCAACTTGGCCTCGGCCCCATCACTCCACCCAGACAGCTCCCTCCACTGTCACCAGTGACCTCCATGTCACGCAGTCTCATGCTATTCCACCTCTAGGCAGCTTTGGACAGTTCTCCGGTGGCTGATGAGAGGGACCACCCTTGGTTCCCCCTTCCTCTCGGTCAGCCTCCTCTCTGACTCCTTAGCAGGTACGTTGCTCACCTTTACATCATCAAAACCTGCATAAGGTGTCTTCCCAAATTAACAGTTCTATCCTGGAGAGTATTTTTCCTGTCCATGACCATGACTGAGCACCTCACAAACAACAGCCACCCCTTTTCCTCCTCTTTCTCCCTTTAATTTTTTCTTTTTTTTAAGAAAGAGAGCGAGAGCGAGCAGAGGGGTTGGGGAGGGGCAGAGGGAGAGAAAAAATCCCAAGCAGGCTCCATGCCCAGTGTGGAGCCTGACATGGGACTCAGTATCATGACCCTAAGATCGTGACCTGAGCTGCAATCAAGAGTCAGACACTCAACTGACTGAGCCACCCAGGAGCCCCTCTCCCTTTAATTTTTTGTCCAGGCAATACGCATACTGAATTGAATAAGTCAAATTGTTCTACGAGGCTTTAGCAACAACAAAAATCTCTCCTTGCTTCTGAGTCCTGTCCCATTTCTTCTTTTTTTTTTTTTAAAGATTTTACTTATTTATTCATGAGAGACAGAGAGAGAGAGGCAGAGGGAGAAGCAGGCTTCCCGCCGAGCAGGGAGCCTGATGCGGGACTCGATCCCAGGACCCTGGGATCATGACCTGAGCCGAAGGCAGACGCTTAACCATCTGAGCCACCCAGGCGCCCCCGTTCCATTTCTTCTGATATTTTTTTTTTGCCATGTTTCTAAATAATACGCTCAATGCTATTATTTGGTTTCTCCATTTTATGTAGTATCTATGGACATCCCACTCTGGAAGATGCAGATTTAACTCTTTAAGCCACACATACACATGTCTTCTTCCTGCCTATAATAATTTGTTCTTTATCCAGTTTTCTGGGATAGAGCTTCTACACCCTTGGAATTTCTCCAGTAATAGGAATGTCTATTATTCAGGGGGCGAGGGGGCTGGATTAGCTTCAGGATGGGGGCTGGTGATACTAGAAATACCAACCATGTGATTACAGGGTTGGGGCTCTGAGCCAGGTGATATCAACCCAATCTCTGGGGCTAGAGATTGAGGTCAGTCACATGGCCAATGATTCAATCGATCATCCCTATGCAATGAAACACCAATGAAAACTATGGGCACCATGATTCAGGTGAGCTTCCTGGTTGGTGATAGACTCTCCATGTCCAGAAAGAGGACAGAGAAGCTCTACATTCAGGACTCTCCCTAGACCTTGGATCTCTTCAGGGACCATGGCTGGTCCTGCTTTGTATCCCTTGTAGTAAAACTGTACTCGTAAGTATAGCACTTTCTTGAATTCTGTGAGTTGATCTAGTTAATGATCCGACCTGAGTAGGTCAAAGGAATCCCTGAATTTGTAGCCAGTTGGTCAGAAGTGCCAGGGGCCTGGAGACTCCCAAATTTGCAGATGGTGTCTACGTGGGGGCAGTCTTCCTGGGCGTGATGCCCTTATCTTGTGGAGTCTGTTCCAACTCTGGTGGTCAGCTACAGAAGTCCAGCACAGGACCACACCTCTCCACAGTTTCATCACAGTCAGGGGTAAATCCACATGTACTGTTCCCATGAGTACATCTCTGTAAATATTTTTCCCCGCTGAGCCCAGTAAAAGGATTTGTATTAGTTCCCTTCTTTTTTTTTTTTTTTTAAGATTTTATTTATTTGACAGAGAGAGACACAGCGAGAGAGGGAACACAAGCAAGGGGAGTGGGAGGGGGAGAGGGAGAAGCAGGCCTCCCGCTGAGCAGGGAGCCCGATGCGGGGCTCGATCCCAGGACCCTGGGATCATGACCTGAGCCGAAGGCAGACGCTTAACGACTGAGCCACCCAGGCACCCCTGTTAGTTCCCTTCTTGTACAACTCTTAGTTCTTCCTAGCATTAATCTCTCCTCCTCTCTTTTTTTTTCTTTTTAAAATTTGCTTTGATTCAGTCTTAGAATCTCCTGAAAAGTCTTTCTGCATCCTCCTTTGGCTCTCTAAAATGCCTGTGAACCCAAATTTCCACCTGGTCAAACACGTCAGAAAATCTATTTGTTTCATTTTGTTTCCAGACATCCCTTCTGGAGCCTCCTTCCTTTGGACCCAAATTGGGCAGTTGGCCCTCTGGAGTGCTCTGTCAGCCTGGGACTCTGGTGTCATCATCTGGGACTCTGTGTCTCTTGCTCTCTCTCTCTCCTGCATCAGTCTGTTTCCTCACATGGCATCTCTCTCCTTCGGAAGTCCTAATAGAGACACTTAGCGCTCACCAAATATTCCAAGTCTTCTCCTATATTTCCAAGTCTTATACGCAGTTCAACTGGGATTAAATGATTAATTTGGCCAAGGGACTATGACAGGAAGTGACCTGGGCTATGTCTAAGCCAAAGCACTTAGGAGCTGGTGGGCCACCTCCATCTCACGTCTCCCCTGCCATGCGGCCTTGGAGGTGATGTGTTCCTGATGGTGCAACCCTGAGCTGTCCCTCCAGTCAGGAAAACACCAGAACTTGTAAGTAATTAAGCAGAACATTTAATACAGGAAAATGGTCACAAACACGTTAAAAGGGCTGGAGCATGACACGGGATGATGGGACTACTACCTAGGTTAGGACCTTTAGGGCTAGAGGGGCAAGAGGGGAAAGTGGTATCATAGAGAAACACAATTGCTGTGTCCACGAGGCTGGGGTAGGCATTGTGGGAACTGGGCGGTGTAAGCAAGGAACAACCAGCCCAGACTCTCCCGCCAGCGACGGCTCCACCAGAAACAGGGAAGGTCTTTGCTTCCATCTTGACTTCTGATCCCTCCTTGGTGCTTCCCATTTAGCAGAATCTAGCCAGAGGCCAGCTGGTAAGGGAGCCCGGGGAAATGTCATTTCCCATCTTCCAGCCTCGAGCACTGGAGCATATGGAAGGATGGGGATTAAGTCAAAAGGCAACAGGCAAAGAGCTTGCACATCTGGTGAGGGTAGAGCAAGCCTCCTGCCAGACCATGTTGGAAATGCAGACATTTCTGAGCTAAGGCAAGGACGGGAATGCTACGCGGCTAGCGTTGATCATCCTGACCTTCATTCCGGGGAGCACATTCTTCAGTGGTCTTCCTGAGAAAGAGCATATGGCAAGGAAAATTTGGGGGACCCTCATGTCTAAAAAGTTCTTATTTGGGGCTCCTGGGTGGCTCAGTCGGTTGAGCATCTGCCTTCAGCTCAGGTCATGATTCCAGGGTCCTGGTATCGAGCCCCACATCCGGCTCCCTGCTCAGCAGGGAGTCTGCTTCTCCCTCTCCCTCTGCACCTCCCCCTGCTTGTGCTCTCTCACTGTCAAATGAATAAATAAAATCTTTAAAAAAAAATTAAAAGTTTTTATTCTTACATGTGCCCAAGCATGGATTCTAGAATGGCAATGGCTTCTCCTCAGATTTTAAAGACACCCTCTCATTGTCTTTTGGCCTCCAGTGTGGCTAGCCAGGATGTCCCATGCCATTTTGATACGGGATCGTTTCTGTGTGACTGGTGTTCTGCCTCTGGAAGCTTGTAAATCTTTTTTTTTTTTTTAACCTGGATTCTGAAGGTCCATGATGACAGGCACTCAGGTAGCCACTTCAGTCAGGAGACTCATGCTTTTATGTTTGAGAAATGAATTTGACTTATTTATTTCATAGTGTCCCCTTCCATTTTCTCTTTTCTGCTTTTCCAGAATTTTGAGTATTCGGATGTTGGACCTTCTGTTCTGATCCTCTAATGTCCATTGTACTTTCTCTTTCATTTTCATCACTTAATCTCTTAGTTACGTTTTCCTTTTTTAAAAAAGATGTTATTTATTTATTCATTTACTTATTTAAGAGAGAGAGAGCGAGGAGAGGAGCAGAGAGAGAGGGACAAGCTGACTCCGCGCTGAGCAAGGAGCCCGTCCAACGTGGGGTTAAGTCCCACGACCCTGAGATCATGCCCTGAGCAGAAATCAAGAGTCTGACGCCCAACTGATGGAGCTGTCAGGCGCCCCTCTTGGTTACGCTTTCTAGAAGAGTTTCTCGTCACGGTCCTC